ATATATATTAATATACATTCCATTTAAGGACTGTGACCTAATTGCAGATCCATAGTTACTGGAAGCATCAATAAAGGGATATGAGTGGCGCCAGTGATGGCATATCTGTAACAGATGAGACAATATGTATATAAAAGGGTTCCAAATGTCTTCTTTGCACAAGGGTCCTCTGCAGTCTGTGCCTGCAATGTACAGTGTGAGTTGCCATAACAGGCTTACTGAAGTTGCCATTTAATCTGAACTGTCCTTCCATTTTGCAGATCAGCTGTCTGGGCATGGAGGACTCTGTGGATAATGATCCCTGTAAGTTTGCACTGACATCCCGTGGTACAGATCGCAGTCTAGTGCGTTACATTCTGCAGGCCTCGACTGCTGAGATCAGACTGGCCTGGATCCATGACATTGGACAGATATTAGACAGCCAGCGTAACTTTCTTAATGGTGAGTAGCTGTTATGTTATAGATTAACTTACATTAGGTATTAGTGGCTCATTAGCGCTGAGAAGTAGCAATACTGTGGTCACATAAATCTAGAATACTGAAGTCTATAAGCAAAATGAGGGTTAAAAAAATAAAGATTTAAGTAGCAATATCAAATCCTGATTTAGGCACTTTTGTTACGCAGAACACACTTGCTTATCTCTTCTTGAGAAGCTGGTTGTACTTAATCAGAAAATGCAAATTACTTTCAGTCATCCTTAAATCTAATATGTAAATTAGGATTCATGTGCAGTTTGATGTTTGGGCAGTATCATATCTGAAATTACTTTATTATTTATAAACTATCCCAGCTAAATCCTTAAAGACAAGCTACTTAAAGCAGTAGGAAACATTTGATCCATTGACAGGTTTTTAAAGATCCCTATGTGAGCGGTGGGGAAATACTGCCTCTCTGAACACAACAGTGCTGCTTCTTACATCCTCTAATGGATTTTTCACAGGAGACCAACCTAAGCCATTGACATTGCAAACAAAGCTTAGGGGATCACCAAATTGAAACCAAAACAGTTGCCAAAATGTATATAAAAGATCTACTGATAATATAAATATGTAGAAGTACAAAACAAAACACTAAGAGCGCCCTAACCTAATAGTTAAATGTGGAGATGTGATTATTAAAGGGATGAAAAGAAATGGCTGTCTATAGAAAACTAGAAGGATCTACTTACATATTACCGGTGGGGACTGGACATCGGGTGACCTTAGTGGAGGATGGGGTGATAACAGGTGTAAGCTGCAAAGTTTCTTCACTGTAGTGGAATGCCGTGTGTTGAGAACAGGTTTTCCACAAGGGATGTTGTGCGAAGTACAGAAAGGATCTTGAAACCAGGGATCACTGTTATTTCTTGGTTAAGAAGGATAGTAAATTGCCATCGGGCTATTTGGGGAGAGAAGAGCCATGAATTCTGTGTGCTGTGAGTCTCATTGCTATGTTAGTGATCAGGTGGATTGTGACTGGGGACTCAATTCATGGCCCGGTGTCAGCACTAAAGAAAGACTGAGCGGGGTCTGGTGGTAGAAAAGCCGTTCGGTAAACTGTGTGGTCACCTGGTATATGGCAGCAATGTGGATTTTGACAGAGAGTGTACTTTTTTTTGTTAGAACTTTAGTGACATTTTAATTATTTCTACAGTCACAGTGAGGTGCGAGGCAGTTGTACTGAGTCGCAGCCCGCTGCGTTGAAAAAAAGTATGGCACACCTTAATTTTTTTCAGCGCACACTACTTTTTTTTCACTGCACACCACCGCGTTCCTACTACAAGGTGGTGGTGCGAATGCAACTGCCTAGGAACAACAGCCAGTGCAGCTGCAACGCAGATGGTGTGAATCGGCCCTAAGTCTCTCTGTAACCCTAATATTAACGATCTCTGTATCCCTATAACTTACACTAATCCTTACTGTAGCCCTAACACTAACCTTTATACTGAGCTTCTATGTACCCTAATATTAACCCTTCCTATCATACTGACAATACCGTTAGCAATAACACTCACACTAAGGCTCCATTGACACATGAGCGGTTTTCCGTGTGTTTTCGGCCGTACAAATACGCGCGGAACCGCTCTAAACATAAAAAACAATGCATTGTTCAGACTTTTGCGGCAGCCACGTGGTAGTAAACCGTGTGTCCCGCAAAATAGTACAAGCACGATCTTTTGGGCGGATTGCGCACGTTCCTGCTATAGTAATAGCCACAAACGTGCGGAATCCGCGCGTATGTTAAAGTTTGTACTGTTTCGTTCCCAAAGGTTTTCCATGCAAAAACCACACGGAAAAAACTACCGCTATGTGTGAATGGAGCCTTAGGTTCATTGCAACCCTAACGCCAACTTTGACACTGTTCCCCCTGTATCCCTAACAATAATCCGCCATGTAACACTAATCTTCCCTATAAACCGAACACTAAACTTCATACTATTCCCCAAGCAACCCTAATATTACCCTGTCATTAATACTAACTCTTATACTAACCCTCCCTGTAACACTAATCCTCCCTGTAACCCTAACACTAACCTTCATACTAATCCCCCTATAACCCTAATATTAACTCTGCCTATGATACTAACCCTTACACTAATCCTCATTGTAACACTGTAACCCTAACTCTCTGTGTAACCCTAACACAAACCCTCATACTAATACCCCTGTGGCCCTAATATTAACCCAACCTATAATACTAACCCCTACAATAACCCTCCCTGTAACACTGTAACATTAACACTTCCTATAACCTAACAATAGCCCTTCCTGTAACCCTGACACTAGCCTTCCCTAAACCCCTAACATTACCTTCCATTTAGTAAACGTAACCCTACCTTCCATTTACTAAACGTAACCCTTTGTTTGCATACCCCTCTCCTGCATAGGGATCCTGTGCTTCATAGACTAACAGATGCTTTCTAATCCAGATTGGCCATGCTGTACAAAAGTGCTGCAAATGCACCCTAAATATTGTATACACTGCTGATCATACTGTGCTATATAGCGGCTTAATATGTGCACTGTTCAATCCTGCTTGACTGCCTCAGTTGAACATCTGTGTTTGTACTATGTAGAAATGGATTCAAGATTAGCAGCTATTTTCTGTCTTGAATATGACAGGGTAACCTACAGTTATTTATGTTATATGTGACAGGAGGATGACTAGAAAATAGAAAAACCTTGGCTTCAAGTCTCACAAAGAAAAAACGATGCCAGGGAGAAAAGAAAAACGTGACAGTTTAGGTAGAAAAGGAAAATAAGACAATAATATGTTAAAAGTGAATAAGATCGCGGTTGTGTCTTTTCCCAGCACTTCAATCACCTATCGAGTACCAACGAAGGGAAAGCAAGTCCAACAGTCTGGGAAGATCTACCAACAGCCACGTGATGGAATCTACCCGTGGAGCTCTCAGACCCCATTCCTCTGCCTCTATGGATAGAAACAAAGTGCCCAACCTCAAATCCTACAATACTTCTCTGCCATCCCTTTATTTACCCAACAACTCTAGGGAGAGTCGAAGCAAGGTAATCATAGGGATTTATGTCTGTAGATAGGTTTCCGCCAATATTAATGATAGGTTAAGTTCATTGGGTCACTAATTGTGTTATTAAAGGTCACAATAGTTTTCTTATCAAAATATTTAATTCACAGACATAAATATTGTACTGTTGAAGATTGTTTTTAATTAGTCAACGACGGAAAAACCTTTGATTCTCATGATTCAGCATATATTTCATTATAACTTACTTTGCCAAAGTAAACAATGCCATTCTTCTTCCAAGCCAATTTAACAGTACCTGTACATATAAGCTGTTGTAAGCTCTTAATTGCTCCCTCTACCATGCCACAGTGTTCTAGCAATCCGTAGAATTACACATTTGTACAACTTGAAAACATGCTAGAATCACTTTAGCAGCATGTTTAAAACTTAAAGCTTTTTTTTGTGTGTATGTCAGGCAAAATAACATTGGTTTTTTTTCTCAGCAAAGCAATGCTGCTGCCTTGATTTCCAAGAGCCTGCTCAGACCGTGTGTAGGATAGATGTTAACTTTGAAAATGTTAAAATTCTTGACGTACTATTCCCCACGACCTGGCCTCATACAATGTCTGAAAAATTGAGTGTATTACCCCACTCAGATGCATACTTTCACTTTGCAACAAAGCACAATTTTTCAACAGCCTCTTCTGCCAAGGTGTGCTCTTAAACTGAGAAATAAGCGATTATCGTGAGACAAAACCTATCATTGAGGATCCAGAATCCCACTTTTTTGAATGATCAATTTATGAAATATGATGTTCTAATGGAGACCACATATTTTGGGACTCCCATAACAGGATCTAAATTAAACACTGATGCTTGTAGCCCTATCACAAAAACACAGGCATTCTGATATATACCATCAATGTGTAGCTTCATGTTCCTAACCTTGTTCTTATATTTATGATTTTACAGGTTCACCCTACTCGAAAGAGTTCACACTCAGATGTCCTTCCCCCATCAACTCTGACCCCAGCACACATCAACCTTAATTTAAATCATTATTCCGAGTCCTCCACCTCTACTGTGTCCAACGGAACATCACAAAGTGACCCCACCAGTCGTGTAAGAATACATTATGGTTATTTTAAGACAATGCCAGGTGTACAGTATTGGTTACTTGAGGTTTACATTGCAGATCTTCAAACATTATCAGCCCATACTAGTCAATCTCACAGCAATCCAGCAAATGTTGTCCCAAAGTCTTTAAGTCTGCAAATAAAAAAAAAAAAAATTCTGAGCCTGTGCAGGGTGTGTATGGGTCTACTTTACTAAACATGCGTACCATTTCTGGGGCACTCTTTTTCAATGCCTCCCACCATCTATCAAAACTGCACAACGCCGCATGATCTTTCTCAGGATGTTCATATGGGGCTACTTGCTGCCTTGCAGTGATGATGTCAAAGACTACATGAACCCTCCCTGCTGCAGCAGCAGTTTGTGGGTACCCTTTGTGGGAAATATCTTGCTTGCAGTATGGTAGATCATAAGCTCAAAGCCAGTGGTCCTGAGGGCCTTGCCAGCTTACGACACACTAACAGTGCCGGAGTCTCAGAACGCAGGGGCTGCTTGCTACTTTTGTGCAGCCAGCTGAGGATTGTACCCTATCCTTGTTTGAAGAGTTGGTACAGGAGGAGTGTCAAACTGCAGACATACAGTAACTCTAAAACTTAAGTATACCATCTTGGTCCTTATTGAAGCAGTCCGCACATTCCTGGACCTGGCTACCAGCCTAGTTTCTGATAAAGCCCCCAGCCTTTTAAGACTTTTCTAGTACATTCACTGCTGCAACCTGTTTTGTATAGTAATTGGCCCAATCTAGATAAAGTCTTTGCCCCTAAATGCTTCGCCCACCAATATTCTGTTGGGTAGGAGTTCTTAAAAAGTGGTCTGTCTTTGTACTGGACCCAGCCATTTTTTGTTTAAACATGACTGACTGTCCCTGTAGAGGACATCCCATTGCTTATAGACCCTGGGTATAAAAGGCTGGAAGCCCATTCCAAAGCCTTATTCTCCCTCAGAAGTCCTGCCCTGCAACCTGCCTTGGACATCTGGTCCATGGACATGTCTCAGGATCCTGGTTCTATTCTAGCAAATCCTTCTCCAACAACTGGAATGCCTGCTTTTGTCCCTACTCTACTGTGTTAAGTGGCTGGTGGATATTATACAGCAAATTTTCAGAATGGGCCTCCTGTTACCGCTTCCACGCACCCCCTCCCGCCCGCAGTGCGGTCGGACGCGTGGCAATCGCACTGCGTCGGGGGGCGTGGAAGCTGTGCCATTGAATTCAATGCACCGCCACACCCCCTCCCGCCCCAAAACGGGAAGTTTCTCAGCGATCGCGGTGCGTTCCAGCAGCTGCCGCTCTGTAACGAACACGCTTTCGGTGTGAAGAAGGCCTAAGTCTTTAAAGGAGTACCTTGATCACGTAATAGTTACTCATCATATTAAACAGGTAACACTTTTCACTAGTTAGTAAGCTAATATATTTGAAATAGTAGCATAGGTATTTGCGTTGTGTCCATGTATGTTCTTGCTTGATCTGATGAATATGTTGTTGCTGAGGTAAGCCTTGTTCCTTGTCTTCTGTCCCCTAGAAACTGAGCACGTTGGGTCGAGAACTCCCTGGCTACGCCTCTACCCCTGATGAAATGGGTGTACCAATTCCCCGGTTGGCCAAGCTGGATGAGGATGAACTTTGAACTTTGGACAAGTGTACAGGGGTTGAATTATTTAAATCATCCTGGAGTTTCCAGGTTGCAGCTGTTGTCTGACATCCGTGGATAGAGGGCTTCTGTGCTTGGAACAGGATAACTATGAGAGAAGGGAACTTGCCTTTATGCCTTTTTTCCACATCCAACACAGTCTGCAAGTCTGTAGTATGATGCCTGCTCTATGAGGAGCAATGTTTATATGAGGACATTCAGCTCCAGAACTGCTTGGGAGACCTTATGGTGTACACTCTATGTCCACTATGTGCTCAAACAACTAAAGACTTGTTTTAAAACTGACTTGAGAGTGACTGAAGGAAACAAGTGAAAAAGAAACATGTGTCATGCTTTGATAAAGGATGAAATGAAGAATTGTATTTTCCAAACCTTAGGCAAACATATAAGCATTTCACCCAACCACAAATTCTGCAGAAAGCCATCTTCACATTCTAGCTCTTTACTTGACAATCATGAAGCTCATTGAAATGGGAAGGTTTTGACTGCCACATGCTTAAGTCTTTGTGTAAGCAATCTGGGAAAGTAATAGCCCATTAAATGGATCAAGTTGGGGAGTCATTTTGTGAATTGACCTAGGTATGTACCTTGCCATTTCTCTGTCGGAGGCACAATGATGCCTTCACCAAAGCTACAACTTTGAGGAAATCTGTATTTTTTTAATGCCATCTTATCAGCCACTCACAAAGTTCATACTAGTTTAAGGGTAGTAAAATATATCTATTCAGCTTTAAGTGAAATCGATACCATGTTTTTTTTTCTTTGTGTCTAGTGATCACATTTTCCATCAGGGGCTTCAGAGGCAAGTATTTGCTTTGTGACATAAATCCTTTATTGACAATTCTACCACAAAGACCTGTGTCATCTGAATCAGTAGTAAAAACAGCCTTCAAAGCTTTCTGGCAGAGGTTCCCTAGCTGCATATGCATTTGTCACCCGTACATTTCACAAATGCTACTTGGATATATCAATATACAGTCAGAGAGGACCTTTGAGACATGAAGCCATTACTTTGTGCACTGGGTCCCAAATCCTACTGGGGCCCATAGTAGTCACATAGTTCACTACAACTGTAGCTCTGCCTTTGGGCAGGTGCCATGTTTTAAAGGGCCCTTTGACACTGATATGAGACAGTAAATGACCACCTGTTAAATTGTCTTTTTACAGTTATTCGGTTCTAGCTGTCATGTAATATTAAGTAGTTTAGAAAGTAACCTCAGTTATGTGATGGTTTCTATTGGCAACCTTTCTTTTTTCCTTCACACAACTCTCCATTCTATTTTGATTACCCAGGATTGAAATAGTTACAGTGTGAGTACTTATAGTAATTTCTAACTGTTGGAAATACTCTATAAAGTATAAATTATTTTGTTACTATCCCAAAGATGTCACAGTGAGGATTCCTATTGACCAAGGCTCCCATCTGTTAGGAATGTCAAATTAATAAATGCAATTTTCATATCAGGGATAAGAAACGAAAAACAGTATACATATTATACATGAAAACAAGTCATTGCTGCCAAAGACACTGGAAACAAATGTAAATGCTACAGGGGGATGTCAATGGTCAATTGCACAGATTATTCTTATTTTGACAAATTTCGGCCAGTATGATGATGGAAGGGCCATCGTCATGCTTCACTGAAAAGGTCACACTTGGCCCCACTCTTGATCCTTCCTATCGGATAGCTTACAGTAAGTGCTCCGATTCCACGCTTACAGTATGCAGCTACTTGATTGATCTTCACAGACATACCAACAATTATTGCATAGATTTTAGTTCATGGATTTTCAAAGAAAGAAAAGAGATAGAAGTGCTGCATTATTAATATTTTCCCATATTCCTTTGTTATTGTTGGTATGGCACTCAACTCCCATGGCCATGCAACTAAAATATCAGCACTGTCATAGTTATAACAACCACCTACAGTGGACAATATTTTGTTCTATATGATACTTTTGCTTAGTCCTTCTGTAACCAAGTCTCCATGAACACAGAAGGATGTATGGAGGTCCCTCGTAATTATATCATATTAATTTGGATCCCCCAGTTGGTGAGGGCTACTGCAATGAGTGTGCAAAGTAGGGAAAAGGGACAGAGATGTGCAGAGGTTACAGCAGAGTTGTTGCATTTAGCACTTGAATCCTGGGCAACACCATCAGTTTTCTTTGTTATATTTACAACAGGGCCCATATCTTCTTTGTGATTATTCAGTAAAACCGTCATGTTTGTTGCCGTTAATATCTTGTGGCTGGTGCATTTATAGCAGACTGACAGGAGTCATTCTAATATTTTGGTAATCTAACCGGCATGGGAGATTTATAGGTCACTAACTCCCCTACACCTCTCCATTTCTCCAATACCAAGACCTGCAGTGTCACATCTCATCTGCAGTGCTGTGCATGGTGAGTCTGACATTGTGTTAGTTCATCCATTCAAATATATTGGTGGTCTCTGAGCACTTTTATAACTAAAAGATGGACATAAAATGCAAAAATGGTATGAGTAAAAATGGGAAGATTATTGTAATGCTGTTTACAATGGTATGGGGTTAGTAGGCACCTATCCATATACTGCTAAAAAGAAAATAGGATTCACCCAGTCTTAAACAGGGCTGGGAGGGGGCTTTAAAGTATAGCATACAGACCTTTACACAGAATGTCATACATCCAGATACATTTTATTTATAATATAGAGTTAAAAACCATTTGCATAAAAACAGCATGCTGGTCATCAGTACATGTCAGTACAATTTCCAATACATATGTGGACATTCATAGTCCCGGTAGGATGATAATATTGGTTCACTACATGTTCCTCAACATATTTTGCCAATCCTTGGCTTCTTCAGGAGGAATTATAGCAACCGAAAAGGTCATTAGACAAGCTCGACAAATGTCTTGCAGAGCCCACCGAAAAAACACTGACCACCCTGGGGGGGCAAGGGAGAGGCAAACAAAACCCCTGGAAGGAACAATCCTAGGCCAAAAGTGAGGACCTGCTTATCTCCAAGACATGTAATATGCCAATGTGGACACCATACACCTATGTGATAAGACTTTGTGGTCTTATCACATAGGTGTATGCATGGTATCCACATTGGCACGTTACATGTCCTGAAGAAGCCGAGGAGTGGCGAAACATGTTGAGGAACGTTTAGCGAACCAAGATTATCATCCTACTGGAAAAATAAAAGTCCACATGTGTATTTGAAATTGTATTCACATGTACTGATGACCAGTATGCTATTTTTATGTACGGTACAAGGTTTTTAACTCTATTTTATAAATAAAATGTATCTGGTTTTATGACATTCTGTGTAAAGGTCTGTATGCTATATTTAAAAGCCCCCTTCCAGCCCTGTTTAGGACTAGGTGAATCCTATTTTCTTTTTAGCGCTATATGACTAGTATTGAGGTGCGTTGGTCCAGACCTTTCCTCTAATGCGGTGGCACATATATTTGTGATGTACAGTATGCACCTATAACAAGGGAACCTTGTAATTAAATTGCTTTACTGAAGTTATGTAAGTTACTCATTTAGTGCCGAAATTACTTCAACTTTGATACTGACATTTCCATGTTTACTATAAAAGCCATAGTAAGGGGTATTTAATAAGTGCAATATCTTGAGGCCTATTATGTTGGAAATATTATTTCAGATATACAGTATATTCAGTCTAACCCCATAAGCCATACTTTTAACAGCGTTATACCAAATAGCATGAAATATGCATTTTGATTGTGGACAACAATAGCACTATATTGTATGAGTAGACTCCGAGGCAAAGTTGCACTGATCTTTGTAAAATCCACAGAAAATCTTTTTATCCTATATATTAGGACTTACTTTCCAAAAGGGTAGGGTGTTCTAAGACTGGATGTCATTTTCTAAAACTTTGGGTGGGGATGATATATGGAGTTGTGCTCAAGGTAAACTAATCAGAAACATGGGCAATCCCAAATGAGCATATGAGGACAATTGTGTATACATAGGACACTGGTGAACATGACATGTCAAAACAATCAGTTCAGCCAGAGATATTTGTCATTGATTTCATCATCTGACAGCTAAATCGTGACTTTTACTGAAAAGGTCACACTTGGCCCCACTCTTGATCCTTCCTATCGGATAGCTTGCCCTCCCTATATGATAGTGAGGCCACTCATCACATTAAAGTACTGAAGAAGTCAAGATATGGATATAGCTTGAGCTGCTAATATCTCTGAGTCTACAGATAACTTTGTCATGCATTTTCACCAAACTTAGTCTCTGATTATGCTAGTTTCAGATTTGGGATAGGAAGCTTGTTGGGAGAACCACAGTTCCAGTTTGGTTCTTCCCTTCATGCTTGTAGATTAAAGGGAGAGTCAGATGTTGTTGGCTGCACAGACAGTGCTTATCTCACTGGCTGCCATATGGGGCTCGCTGAAGTTAGAGCAGGTCAGGCAAAGCCAGATGTGAGATAACTCTACGGTGCACTCACCAGTAAGTAGCACATTTTCATTCATTTTAAACTCTGTTCATTTTACAATAATGTACACCTATACTAAATTGTTAATATAAAGCCAGTCTTCCTGGGGCAGATAAATGAATAGTAAAAGAATAGCTGAAATTAGTATGTTTCCTGAAGTAAATGTCGCTCCAGGCTCCATCCAGTGCTGGCACTTGTCTATTTGGTCAGATGACCTTTGTCGAAGGGGACGGACGGCCAGTCTGGGCTCTCATGCTTTCTTTAAAAGATATCATTTAACCACTATAAGCTAACCAAAAAAGTACATCTGCCCCTATGTGGGCAGACTAGGCCTTCCAACACACAAATCCTTGAATGTGAGTGGCCTACTCTGCAATTTATTTGGCCTCCACAGTGATTTGACTGATGTAGGCACTTCGGGGATCTGAACGTGGTCACGTGAGTTATACAGTGTCTTCCACTGTGACTGTTTAGTATTCAGACTGATATGTATGAGTCTTAAAGGCAGCTTTTAGGTTGCTCTGGCATTTCTTTATGAAATAATACGTTTATATTGGCCACAGTCAAAAAAGCCCTATTTAAAGCTTCCCTTTTTGATTTTCAATATACTATTTTAAAGAGAATAAATAGGAGGAGTGAGAAAATGCATCTGGTAGTCCCCAGGAAATATAAAATAATATAATAATAGGAAACCACAGGATGTCTCATCCTCTCCTACAGTTAAAATATCACTTTTTGGTCAACTGGCTGGTTAAATAGACTACGTCACTGTGACGTTTACCTGTGGGCAGATTAGTCTGTTCTAGATTTAGTCCTCCCATAGTAGCCTTCACTCCCTGGCCTTCAGGCTGCATTGTGATGTGAATGCTCTGTTCCTAGTATTTAGCCCCACAAAACTACCAAGAGTTTTATCATGACAGAAGCACCTTAGGGTCTGAATGAAGAGCTATGTATTGCCTATGGCCATAAGCTGCATGCAAAATATGAAGTTAGAGATGTATTGGTCGATTTAAAAATGCTGACATTCTTTTGAGCCCTTTTGTGC